AAGTCTCGATAAACTTACTCAATCAAACATAATGGTAGAAGTGTGGTCTAATCAGGCAGTTTCCAACGAAATTTTTCTGTGAAATAGTTGATTCATCGACTACCACACAAGTGGTAGTCGATGAATCAACTATTTCACAAAATTTGTGCGGGCCACAGCTTTGCCGATTTTTATTTTCAAAAATATGACAATCTCGTCGGACTCTACCACCCCTTAAACTTACAATACGTCTGACATTAATATGCTGTATAATAATAATTATGTAATAAACTTAAGAGGAATTATACATCATCTTTTCCAAGACCTTGACATCAAAACTCGCATTATAATTTTGAAAAAACGTATCTATTATTTTGTATTTATTCAAAAGTTGCATTTTTTTCCTAACAAAATAAAGTAATACTCCGCCCAATATCGATTAGATGGCGCTGTTTCCTTCTCAACTTCCAAATATGCAGAAAAGAGAATAAATTTATAAGTAGAAAAGAAAAAAGAAACAGAAATAAGCATTCATCTCGATCGAGAAGTAAGAAAGAAGCTCTTTTCTATCGTCATTTTCTTAAAACGCGCAAGAAATCAAAAGCTTAGCCAGATAATGAACGGAAGATAAGAGAAACGTCAACACTCCTTCAGAAATCTTCCAATTGATGGTATATCAAAAGAGTGCAGCCTTTCGTTTGCCTTAACGTCGTATTAATTAAGAGCAGGCGCAAGAATCTATTTAATGAGCAAAAGTTAGCCTGAAGCGTCTGTAACTTCCTATTTCTACTACACTTCTACCCTTCGTTCCAATGACCATCTGTCAGCTAATTTTAATTAGCCCGCGACATCAAAGCTTCTACTTTCCAAATGCTCGAGTAAATATTGTTATAGCGGTCGCTCTTGTATCAAATAAGGCTGTAATTTTTTTCTTTTTTTTTTTCTAAATATCCGTTGCCTAGCAATATTCATCCTTTAATATGTAGCATTATTAGTTTTTAACGAGGACTCGCTTGTTTGTTTGTTTGTTTATGTTTTAGATTTTATATAATAAATTTTTATTTAAAAATGCTATTTATTTTGAACAACTAAATTAGAACTACGAAGCATCACGACTTACCTAAACAAAATAAGAAGCATTTACTTGCCTAAATCGAATTAGTTTGTTAATATATTCCCCAGTAATTACAGTAACCTTATTTTTAATATAACACACGATTTAACTCGAGAGAGGGGATATAAACTTTATAAATTTAGGATATAAATTTTTCCTATTTAAAAATACAGCAAAGATTTAAGTAAGTTAGATATCTACAAACCTCCATATAGAGCTTCCTAAATAGTGCCAATGAATACTGGTGAACGTATCTTCCCAGTTACTATTAGAGAGAGAACTCCAGTATGTGAATTACTAAATGTACGTTTTTACATTGGAAATGACATTATTATTACCAAATCATGCAATTTTCAAATTCTCACACTCAAACTTGTGTTCATTATTATGCATATTCGTATTATTTGAGATACTGTACTTCCGTTTGGCCCCACATACAGAACAACAAGCGAACAAATAGTACTGCTAAATCGAACTTGACCGTATATCCAAATATTTAATTCGTGTATAATTCGTCTAATTATAGATTATAGATATCATAACAGTTATAATTATTATGGTAGGTTATCCATAATTCATCGTTAATTTATGCTCTTTAGCCAGCTATTTCTGAAATTTTCTCATAAGTCTCTTTGCATTTGTTTTAAAAATATTTATAGCTTATATAAAAATATATTTACCCACATATTTTCGTTTTTTTAAAGCCTATATAATATCATTACAAGCTATAAATTCGCTTCCATAAATATTATTATTAATCATAGATACAAAGCATCGGATACGCTTACACACGCTAAGAAACTTATTGCAATACATGCACTAAATCTTTCGTAAAATGCCACCCAGATTATAATCCCAAAGCCTATTACACAGCCTTGAATATGCTACACATCCTAAGAGATTACTCGTGTTACACGTTTCAAAAAAAATCTATCGTAGTAACACATCAAAAACTTCTCAGATGCAGTAGGCCATAACGTACAAGATGTCACATGTATGTTCTTCAAGATTGTGCTATTTCGGGGTGTATCATTTAGTAAATTTAATACGTCGAAAACACATGCCTAACAAACACGAAAAATACTTAAAAACACAATAATAAACAAAGGAAAATAGGGTAAAAAAAATCCAACAACCCATAGCATCTCCAATTTCTCCATTAGTTCCTTATTGGGTAAGTGGTTAGTAGTAAACCGAGACTGTTCTACCCAGAAAGAAATTCGATACTTAAACTTAACAATGTCGAACTTTACAACGGGTTAACAATCTAATTTTTTAACTTTAGAATTTCTTGAAGAAAAAATATTTTTTTTCTTTTTTTAAGAAAGGAGAGAGAAAAAACATTCCCGACGAAAATCCCAACTTACATATATTAGTCAATGAACCGTGCATCTCATTCGTGTTATTACACAACAGTTACACGTCTTAAAACTTTTATTTTATTCGTCACCGGCGAATCGATTTTACTAAATCGATTCCCAGCGTTCTTTTCTAATATTTCCGGATTTTTTCTCTCCTCTTATATTTAAGCCAAACAGATTTAATTTGAATCGTAAATATTAAAAAATCCGTCGATTCAAAGTGAAATAGGGACAACGACTGATAACAGATGGAGCTAATTGAATTTTGACACTCGGAGCATGCGCAGTACTCTGAATATGTTATTGAAATAAAACACGTAATTAATAACATAATTGAACCTAATTAGATTTTTAAATACTCAGTAAATTCGTTTAAAGTTTGTTACATTTTTTCAGATTTTATATCTTTTATAATTAAGAAAATGCTTAGGATATTATTTATAATTACTACAATATTATTTTTTATCCGAGTAATTTTTGTATTGATTTTTACTTGGTAATTCTAGTTTAATATAACTCTGTGTTAACCAAAAATGCTTTGGTAAGGGATCAACTTTTTTTTCTTCATTTTATCATTATAAACAGCTAAAGCGGTCTCGGAAGCTAAAAATTGCAAAAGTGTTATTTGCATAAGGAGAAAACTACTCCAAACTTTCAGAGATAAGAGACGTTTCAGTCGAGTTGGTAACTGAATAGCGTTATCTCGAGTGTGTCACCAGGAGAATCCTGGTTCGATTCCCGGTTGATCCTCCTTTGACATCGTAAACGTGCAATTCATTATAACTTTATAATTGAGAAATGAGATTTTTCAATAGGAAGAAACCTTTGATTTTGTAGGAATAAACTTATTTTGAAATTCAGAATTTTTACTGAATCTAATGTTTACGTTATATATGAAGCAACATTTGCTAAAATGTTATAGAATTTAATGAAATCGTTTAAAAGATTTTTAAAAATAAAATAATCATGATAATGGAAATACTCTTCATAAAGAACTGTGTTCACTCACCCATTTGGTAGTTTTATAAGTAGTCATATAAACATGTCAGAAAGATGAAAGGAAAGAATTTACACCTTTACAAATAATTCATAACCCGATTACAATTTTATAGACTTGGTTTAGACCAAGTAAACTACAGTAGAAGTATAATTTAAGCGCTGCAGTATTTCTGTAACGACGAAGATAAAATTTGCAAGATGCAAGCCAGAGCTTAATTATTATTTTTTTTTTAAAAAAACTTTAATTAACGAAATGTTAAATTATGTATTAAAAAGTATTCACGGAAGTTAAAATTAATCTAAAATTCCGTTTTGTAAACGAACCGGAACGAAATTCTAAGATGTCCATTATTTCTTGTAATATTAGAATAATATCGTGTCTGGAAGAACAACAACAGCTCAGATCTGAATAGGAACAAATACAATAACAAAGGAATTTCTTCGGAAAAGGAAAGGATTCATTTTTAATAAAACAATATCCTGCAGGGAATAAAATATCTGATGCTAGAATAACGATAGTTAGTTTACTGCTACAAATTTAAAGTTAAGTGAATGTTAATTGATAATAATTAAAATTAATAGAAAATAATAATATGCACATAAAAAAGTAGAAAATATTCGAAAGATCACTATTCTAATCCTGTTTTCATTTTGAAAAAAGAACATTTCTTTTCGTCTGCAAACCTAGATGTAAACACGAGATAAAAGGAATCGGTTGGAGCATTCCATTCTATATTGTTTGCTCCGTCCCTTCGGGGTTTATTTCCTTTAGGCATTCCACCTGATTGATTAAAGACAGAAAGATATGCAAACAGTTGATTTGTTCCGAATATCAATTGATTATTATTTTACGTTTTATCATTTGCCTCCTCCCCATGAAGATAAATGGATAAATCGCGGATTTTTAACAGAATATAAAACCGTAATGGTTGATAATGATTTAATGCCTATAAGCAGAATATCGATGGAAGTAAAAAAATAGAATTTCAAAACTGCCTTTTTTGACAGCCCTTCTATATTATATTCCATTCGTTTCGCCATTTTTTTTTCCTTTACTATTTTCGGAAGTCGCGAGCAAGAAATCGTTTTTGGTGTAATTCATGCTTGTCTGAATTTTCCAGAATTTTTATCAAAATATCTCCCGGTCATGATGTAATACCTGTTTCTTTTTATTTTTAATTTAAATATTTTGCGTGTTTCGAGATTATTTTTTTTTTTAAATAAGCAACAGGATTTTCTAGTCAAACAAATAGATCAAATGTATTTATATATGGCGGCTTTCATTCCTCGTATTAAAATCGTCGGTATTTTATTATTTAAATATTATATTATTGATTTATACTTAAAAATGTAAGATATAGACGTTATAAAAGTGATATCTTGAAACCGTAATAGTGAAGAGTCATTAAGAAAATAAGAATTTGCAGAATCATTGAGATAAATATAGATTTTATTCGAAAATATTTTGAAATTATTATTATTTTTATTTTATAAAAATAATGTAGGGAGCGCTTTATAAATTCAAAAATTTAAAAATTCAAATATTCATTACCTTAAATGTTCATGACCGTTATAAGAGAATGAATTATGTAATTAGCAACGGAGAATGGGTCTAAAACTTATATATATCTTTAAAATTAATTAAATTTAATCTTTACATAGTAAATTAATGTTAAAATTATCTTTAATTAATTTATAAATCTCAAAAATTAAATTTAAATTTTTGAATTTGAAAATATTTAAATTTCTTAACGTCATTAAATTATAATTAATTTCGTCATATAAATAACCCAGCTTATATTATATATATTTATAATTTTAAATTAAAATTATAAAGTGATTTAATTAATAATTCCTTTATAAGTACGCAGACCTTTGGTCACGTGACTTAATTAACATAAGCACGTGATTAGCCGAATAAACGGGATTTGATTTATTTAAAAATGACTTTAAATTAATCAACAAGTCTAATTTTCGTCTGGTAATAACGAATAGTTGTAATTTTGAAATTGACCCTTTCTGATCTTTTGAACTTTGACAAAAGACATTCATTATCATTATAGTTAAAACTCGGTTCCACGCTTACCTTATTCGAGCGTTACTGATATATTATTATTCATAATATTTTTAAAATGAGTGATTTCTACAATAAAGCGTGACAACTAAAACAATAAATTTACTAAATTAAATTTTAAAACTTAAGATTAAAACTTACTAACTCGTGCTGCCACCTAGTATAAGGAATTTAAGTTATACGAATATGCGTTACGAATGTAAAGTATTTTTGCACCAATATAATTAATATTTATGCCAGTCAATAAACGATTTAAAATTTTATTATTATTATTACTATTAAAGTTACTTTTATTTAAATAATAATCTTTCTGATTTTTATTACAAAAAAAGTATTTTTCAGTAAACTTTTTACCACCACTTATTAAATTCCATTGACTTCACTGTAAAAATTAATTTAATGCAAAATAATAAAGAATATAACTATTTTTAAAACTCATAACAACATATTAAATGAATTTATATTATTAAAACTATTCTAAAAATTTTATTTAATGATTTAATTATAAATTGTTAGCAGTATTTTTTTTTCCTTTTTTGCACCACCTGGCGTTAAATTATATAAACTAGAATACATCGAATTCCTTTCATAATTTTATTTATAATTTATTGTAAAAAATTTAAATTAATTAAAAAATGTTTTTTCCACTTGATTAATTTTTCTATTTCGTGAATTTTATCAAAAACATTTCGGTTTCTCAATTGATAATGGATTGCCTTAGGTGGCAGTTTCGTTTTTTTCTTAGTTTTTTTTTAATTTTGGAATAAGCATTTTCGAATTTTAAAAAGTTTTCTTCTAACTTAATTTTAATAATGTAAGTAAATGAAAAATTAATAAGACAAATATATTTATTATTATTGATGACGATGTTCTGTAGCTCGTAAATGATTTTTAATCGCCTTATTGTCGTGTAGGAAAACCACAAGTTACAAATTTTTAAATACTATTTAAAACGAATAAATATAATTTCTCGATTGGAAATTACGCCTAACTTTTCTACATCTTTATCAATTAATTAAAATATAATTAAATACTGAAAAATGTAAAATACTTTTAAAAAATCTATATTTAGTCTTTCAATAATGTGACGATGTTGATTGATATATTTACGCGACGGAAAATAATCCAGTTTCATAACGAAGCAGAACATTATAACAGTAATTTTGTAATATATCTGTTTGAATTTTCCGACATTTTTGCGGAAAGTATCGAAAATTTCAGAATATAACAGTTTATGCATATCTTATAATTTCCTACATACCTATACATGTTCTACTTCGTAATGAACACGAAACTATTTTCCGTCGCGTATGCAGATTAATAAACATGTGGTCATTTCTTATTGTGGGAAAGATCATAGACATGCTTTCACGTGTAAACGAAGTTGCATTTTAACCGTAACAATTTTTGTTATGGCGTTTTCGTGTTCTCTCGTCTACTGGTTTTGTTATCTTAACTCGTCAAGCCGTTTAGCATCTTGGTTATTGAAACTAATGGGTTACTGATACTGTAATACTGCTTGCTAACGAATAAATAAAGCGTACTTTCAAAAATTTAAACCGGAAGTCATGAAGTAAAAGGCGGCGGAAAAAAAACAGTACCTGTATTTGGTTAGCTACACGAAAACAGCTTACAATATTTAAAAAATTATTCTACTTTATCCGTGTTTCTGATTGGAAGATAAATGTAAACATTGTAGAACAGGTACTGTACATAGGCAGGGGGGTCTCGTGGGGGTAAAGTCCTCTCCTAATTTCGGCAAAATCCTATGCGGGTAGCAAAACGACGGACGGAAGGCCTAGGCAATTATCGTGTCAGCCATTAAATTCGAGGAATAAGGCCCCCAAAGAAAATTCTGGCTACGGGCCTATTGTAGGCCCGTAGCCAGAAACGCAAATAGATGTTACATAGTGCCAGACTTCTTAACTTTACGATCGGAGGTAAGTGGTGAAAACGGATTTTACAAAATTAAAGGAAAAATAGCGTTTTCGTGTACGGGTGTCCGATAACTGGAAGGCGTCATCATTTTAGAAAACGAAGGGTCGAGTGCACGTCTGAGACTACCTCCTCCATTAAAATAGTAAATGATGGCATGGATAAAGTTTGGACTTTGTGGAAACAGCAGTTCTAATAGTATTCGATAGCTACGCAGCTAAATAAACGAAACTGTAGTTCAGATAGCAACGTTTTTGTCAGTGATATTCCAGTAGGCAGCACTCATATATAGCACGTTCGAGCTAACCGACAATGAAAAAAAAGTGATCTGAACATTTTAAAAGTTGGGTTTGACGAACGTTTTGCCTTCAAGCGGACCGAATCGTAGTCATCATTGATTGATTAATTGGAACAGGAAAATAATTGAAACGTTCAGCGAATTTCTTACGAAAGCGCAGACGTTGGTAAAGAAATGCGAATATGGTATACTAGAAAGCCACATACAGTACTGCGTGATCAAGTTGTTAGCAGAAACTGTCCTTGACTTAACAAATGTAATGATATGCAGAAATTAGAAGACTGCAACTCTTCAAATATGAGGCATGAAGAACCGAATGTTGATGAAAAACAAACTGACAAGGGGACCTTACGGTCTCGGAAATTCAGTTCGGGATGAGACTTTGCAGGTTAGTAGTATACCTCAAGGGTGTCCACCCGGAAGAATTGTAAAGCGCACTAGTAACAAGATTCCGAGAAAAAAAGGCTCTAAAGTTTTAAGCGCAGCTCATATACCGATCGATTTTACACTATGGCAGTACCGCGAAATGGCTGAGCCTGTAGCGAACTCGCTGACCACGCATCTAGGTTCGATTCAACCTTCGGGTAACTTTTTTTGTTTTAAAAATTGTAACAACTTTTAAATAAAGTTAACGACCTAAAAATATTATCAATTAAATCATAAATAACTGTCAACTTTCACACCTGGGAGCTAATTATTCCGTGAGTTTTCACAAGTTACTTGTGAAAACTCACGGAATAATTAGCTCCCAGGTGTGAAAGTTGACAGTTATTTATGATTTAATTGATAATATTTTTAGGTCGTTAACTTTATTTAAAAGTTGTTACAATTTTTAAAACAAAAAAAGTTACCCGAAGGTTGAATCGAACCTAGATGCGTGGTCAGCGAGTTCGCTACAGGCTCAGCCATTTCGCAGTACTGCCATAGTGTAAAATCGATCGGTATATGAGCTGCGCTTAAAACTTTAGAGCCTTTTTTCTCGGAATCTTGTTACTAGTGCGCTTTACAATTCTTCCGGGTGGACACCCTTGAGGTATACTACTAACCTGCAAAGTCTCATCCCGAACTGAATTTCCGAGACTGTAAGGTCCCCTTGTGAGTGTAGTTTAAAATAAGTATAAAGCTAAAGTAGAAAAACATAAATAAATATAAAAAAAACACCAGAATATAAAGAATTCAAATGCAGGCAATATAATAAGAAGCACAAGTATCAGTTGCACAGCTTTTTTTTTAACTCTGTCCTATGGGCAATAAGGTAGCCTTGTTTTATCAAGCCTATTATGGATTCAACGCCCACAATTGGGCAACTGGGTGGTGAGGGAAGGTTCCCGACATATCAGGACGGATCACCCAAAAAATTCCCGGAATTTTTTTACCCATCTGGATTTGATCCCGGTTCTCCCAGTGAGATAGGCTGAATCTTAACCACTTGACCATTCCAGTGTTGACTTGTCCAGCTTATGATAAATTTGCATCAAGTGTAAATTAAGAGGGCACTTTACATATTGTTGCTGAACTATGCAAGCCACAATACAAAGCATACATGTTAACTACTGAAGACACAGAACAGTGAGTTCTATATTGACACAACCACTCTGAAGTGTATCAATGTTAAAGTGCATGACAAGGCAATTGATGACATTGCTATGCCAGAGTGAGCAAAAAATTAATTGGACATGGGAGTGCAATGCAATGGAATTCCAAGTCCTTGATCTTGAAACTGCTCAAGCTATTATGAGTGAGCTGCAGTTAGCCTTATAGTGACTGATTGTCAGAAAGACAGGATTTGCATATGCATTTATCTGAAAGTAGATTCTGCAGCATTACTACCCCCCTGCAGACAACTGAAGCGATTGCAACTAGGATACATGATTCAAAATACTTTACATTGCTGGTTGGCAAGTAGTAGTTTTTGGCAGATTCCTGATTGAGAGAACTAGGAAGTACTTCACAATCAACACCTCTTGGGATGGTATATATTCCATCAATTACCATTTGAAATTGCTTCTGTATTGAAAATGTTATGGCAAATTATCAGCCAACTGCTGGAAGGTAAAGACAAGTGTGCAAACCTATTGATGACATTTTGGTATACATAGAAATGCTGAAGGAACTAAACATGCTTACTAAGTGAATCATTCAAAAGTTATACCAGGCTGAACAGAGATAACGTTAATTCTACATAGAGAAAGTACAATTTCTGAGGTTATGTCATTACACCTGAAAGTTTATAAATTGATTATTTAAAAGAACGAGCCATTGATCAGATGAAAAAACACATCAGATGTGAAATCACTACAAAGATTCTTAGGCATGGTGAACTATTTGGCCAAACTCATGTTCAAATATTTGGAGTTGACAGACCAATTTGCCAGCTCTTGTCTAAGAACATTGAATGGCATGATCTAATGAGCATGATACAGCAGTGCAGATCAAGGAATCCTTGATCTGCACTGCTTTTGCATTCTATGATGTAAATGCTCTGATAACACTGTTAGTTGATACCAGGTCAAATAACTGTAAATGCAGTTTTACTGCAGAATGGGAGATCTGTTGCAAATGCAATACTGACTCTCATTGCAGTACAGAAACATTATCTACAATCTAGAGGCATATGTTATTAGGTTTGGCTATATGATGGCAATGGATACATTTATGGCAAAGAACAACTGTACTTACTGATCACAAGCCATTAGAATCGATATACGATAAACCATTACTGGCAGCTTGATTGCAACTTCAGAAAATCTTGTTTGATATCCAGCCATATGCAGTGAGAATAAAATATGTGCTGGGCAAAGATCCCTATACTGGATGTATTTAGTTGTAACTGTGAAGTGAGTGTTGATGCTGATTATTTCAAAAATGAGTGTTTATCTTATCTTACTAATGTCAGAGACAACATCAGAGAAGCTGAAAAATGCAACAACAAAGGATGAAGAACTACAACTTCTTACACAACAACTGCAACAAGAGTGGACTTCAGATGCCAAAATAACACATTAATTGAAAAAGCTCTCTATGTAAAGATAAACTATCATTGGCAATGTTCTAAAGAATGAATGATCAGTCATACCTGTCTTGTTACATAAGAAATATTTGCAATGAATATACCAAAGTCAACTGAGAATACAAAGCTGTCTGAACTGCACTAGCGTAGAAGTTTTCTGGCCAAATATAACAGCTGACATCATCAACTGTGTTAAGCAATGTCTTACATGTGAAATTCATCAGCATGATAATGATAAAAAACCAACTGAGCTACTCAACCTTGGCAAATTGTAGCAAGTTATCTGTTTGAACTACAAGTTTATTATCTATTCATTATAGACAGCTATTCAAGTTTCTATGATTTCCTAATTCTGACAGACATTATCACATATACTGTTATAGACAGTCTGAAACAAGTGTGCAATTTTTGACACCCCTGATGAACTCTTAACTGATAATGGATCACAGTACAGCTCATTGTTTTGTTTGTTTGATACAGCATGGGAATTCACTCAAACGTGAGTCCAGGATATCCCAATCCAATAGACTAACTGAGAGATACTCCAGACTGCCAAGCTACTTCTTAAAGAAGTGCAAAGCAAACAATTCAGATATATACCTATCTAAGTTTCACAAAACCTTTCACTTTTTTCTAGCAGTTTCTTAATCCATAAGAGAACAAACCTTTCATCCATTTTAAATGGCCTTTTTCAGGTTCTATAACATTGGAACGTCAGTATTCGAATGACGTCATTCAAATATTTGTTAACTGACGTTCCAATGTTATAGAACCTGAAGAAGGCCATTTAAAATGGCCAAAACGTTTGTTCTCTTATGGATTAAGAAACTGCTAGAAAAAAGGTGAAAGGTTTTGTGAAACTTATTTAAAGTTCTAGCTTTCCGTGCATGGAATTATATACCTATCACTTCTGCATACATAAAATACTTCACACCCTAATCTATCTAACCAGATAAGTGTTTAATTGGAAGACCTATGAAAACAATTTTGCCTATTGATACTATGGATTGAACTAATCAGGTACTGTACAGTACACCAGGGCCATCAATTAAAATGTTTAAAACAGAAATATTATGCTCACCATTCATTCCATGTATAAGATTTAAAAGTTGATGATCACATTAGAATTTGCCAGTTTCATTGTCAGTGAAGTGGAAACTATTACAGCAAATCATAAATCTCCTAGATCAGTAGTGATGGCACTAATCAGTAGTGATCAATTAATGATGGCAGAAGACTACATCAATACTATCATCATGTCCACAAAACCACTGCCAACATCCTTACGCCACAATGCCCTGTGCTCTATATCACAACTTATCACAAGATCATACTTACAATACCACCTGCATAACCTATTACACTATTTAGAGATACAAGTGATACCATATCTAACAAAGGACATTACATAAATGATATCTATCCTGTGAATTTATCTGTAGTTACTTTCAACATGTGAAACATTTGTTGCATGTGTTTGGACATTTAAAACTAATATTTACTTAAATAAAGGAAGGCTATAATATGTTTCTTAAATAAAGTGTTTCAGATAATGCTGAGTAAATGTTAGACGGTGCAGAAACTAAACATATTAAACTAGATGTTTATGACTGTGTCATGGTGTTAAAGTGAATGTTACAAATTTGGGCTTTGCAACATCTGTAAAAAGATCAGTAAATGTTAAATGTTATTTAATCTCTGAGTAAGCAATCACAAAAAATAATGCAACTATTTTGAATCAGTATCAAATTTTAAATAAATTTTATGTTTATTGTATAATTTCTTTATCACTCAAATAATCCTTACTCTACTGCAAATGTGTATTTAGATATATTCAAGAATGTACTTAAAAAATAATTGTCAATTGCATAGCATCAAGTAATTCATTATAAAAATATGTTATTATTATTTAGATATTATATTATTAATATTTTAAATCATAATAAGTGAGAAATATATGTCCCTTTATATATCCTTATAATTTACCTTATACTACTTACAAGTAAGTATTATAAGGTATATATATTTATAATACAAAATTGAATAATCAGATTGTATTATTTATTTATTTATTTGATAATTATTAAAATTACAGATGAAATATAATGAATAACTGCAAAGAATTGAAAACTTTAAAAACTTCAAAAAACAAACAGATGTGCATTTCTAAAGATAATAAAGATAAATTAAATAAGAGAGAGCATCAAGATGAGAGAGGTGATTTGGATTATTTATTAAATAACAATTTTTCAACTTTTAATATTGGTGATTTTGAAAATAAGTTTAAAAATATATGCACCTATTTAAACAAAAATGAATATGCAGAGATTGCTACCAGTCCAGATGTAATAGATAAAGAATACAGTTCCAAAAGGAATCTCAGAATATCTGTTCAGAAAACAGTTAAGAATGTAGACTATCTCGAGAAGTATAGTTTTCAATTATCTATTATTCCTTCTACAATAAATAACATTGTTTCTAAGCAAAAAGAGAACTTTTCTTTTGGTTCAGATTTTGATATTTGTAAAAACAAATCTAGACACAATGATGATGCTTCATTTGAATTATATCCATTTATTTCTTCAGAAGTTTTTTTAACAGATCTTAATTTTCAGGAAGTAAATAATTCTGATACAGAATCTCAAAAACTGAAGCAAGACATTTGTAAGAAACAAAAGTATGAATTTGCCACAGAAGCAGACCTAATTACTTTTAAAGAAAATAGAATGACTACTAAAAAGTCTGATATATTAAAGCATGGAAAATCTGAAACCTTTGGAGGAATTTTTAAGAAAGATATAAAAAAGGTCTCTCTTACTGCAAAAGATATTCAAGATTCTAAGACGCCATTGTCTTATCCAGAGGCAAAAGAAAAATGTCTCAATCAATCTAAATACAACTCAAAATCAGATAAATGTTATAAAAACTTATTGCATAAAAATCCTGCACTTAATTCAAATAAAACTTCAACAGCTACTAGAAGAAATTTTCCATTGCCTAGCAAAAAAATTAAGCCTAGAAATGTTATTGCATCATTTATTTCAAAGAATCAAAATCAAAACTCCACAAATGAATCTATTTTTGAAATACATTCTATTAATTTGAAGAACAAAAATCTGAAATTCATAGATTATAATTTCAATAAGCAATTTAATGCATTGAATCCTGATGAATTTAATGATAATATAGATTCAAACAATAAATTAGGAAGTTTTCTGACATCAGAATTCAAAAAGGCAAACTCTGAATTTTTCATTCAAATCAAAAATTTTTTAAATGAATTTAATGGTGACTCCTATGATCTCCATGAAAGCTTAACAAAGTTTTATCAGAAATTGCAAAGAGCCAAAATCAAGTTTAGAACTTCAATTGTAATTAAAAACATAACTATACAATACAAAAATTTTTCAAAAGTATTCAACAGTATATCAGAAGAAGATGTAATAGATATGACTAGCAATTATTTTTCTAAATACTTCAAGGAAGATCAGGGACACACAATGACTATTGAAATGAATAAAGAATTTGAACTCTTCTTAAAGTTCAACATAAAGTTTAAAGAAAAAGATGAATTTTCAGCAATTCTAGATGAGAATAAAACAAAATATTTATCATCAAAATGGTTTACTTTGTTTAACTTAATTTATCAACTGAACAAACAAACAAAAGTTTGTCATTTCTACAAAGAAATATTAAAACTTAACAATTATTATATAAATCATAACTTCCAATTATATAAATTGGATTCTATGAACTGTTTTATTGTTGATGTTAAAGTGATTGAATTTTTTGAAAGATGCGACTATCTTCGTTTAAAAATTCAAGGCATCGTTGATTCAAAATGTGGAAAACACAAACCAATCGTCATCATCAAAGAAACCAGGTTATATTACAGAGAATATAATAAAAGGTATCAGTAAATTTTTTCTTCAATAATATTAAATTTAAATGGTTATTTATAATTTATTATTCATTATTCTTTAGAAAGAGAATCAAAAATGATGAAAAAGCAAAAATAAAAATATTTGAAATAAAAGAATATTCCCACAAGAATTAATGCAATGTTTGCAACTCACAGAGGTTGTTTTTATGTAAAAAGTTTAGATTGAATTTTCTATCAGTAGCTACAAAAACAACGTAAAATCTTTTAAATGTATAAATCAAAATTTTATCTATAAATAAATTTTAATAAATTACAGTATCTGTTATTTATAAATTAACATATATTTTGCTTTTGATGAACATTTTATAACATTAACAACAAATCAAAAAGAGAGAAAAACTCAAGTATGTCTTTTAAATATAAACTATGGAAATCTATATTTGCAATTGCCAATCCATATATTTTAATACTGTCTTTAGTATATAGAATTATCAATAATTCTCGCAATTTGAAAATAAAGTAATAATATACAGGTAACCCCCGTATAACACTGCACTTCTATAGTATGGATTCACTCTAACACGGTTTGAGAATTGGTACCATCCCCGTATAACACGGTACTGTTATAGCACGGATTCACTCTGACATGGTTCGAGAATTGGGTAAAACCCTCGTACAACAGGAAATGTAATAAATTTTTACATACTTAAGTAATAATAGTTCACGAAAATTATTATTTTCGTGAACTATTAGTACTTAAGTATGTAAATTTTCTTTTCTCGCCTTCTGTCGATACATGTGGTCCTTCTCAAAACTTGTTTCAATGTTGTCAGATCTCGACGCTTCTGCTTCTGATGTTGCCGAATGTTTTTCCCTTATTCCATACTTGCTTTATTCTTCATAGGTGCTTAGCACCATATAAGGAAATTTATAAAGATCTTTTAACTAGAAGCAAGCAATCTAAAATTACATACATTTTGCAAAAGGTAAAGCATGGATCTGAAGATAATGCAGAAAAATGCTCAGAGAATAAGGATAACTTGCCAAAAAGAAAACGCTCTCGGTTAATTAATAGTGTTTTTAGTGATGACGAAGAAAACATTGTTTAATTTATATTAATATGTATCACTTAAAAAATTTTAATGAAGATATTTATCTTAATTATGAAAATATACTAACATGTTTTTTAATTTTTGGAACCTAACCCTCCTTTTCGTATTAGTTCTTTGTTTCGTATAACATGGATTCGCATAACACGGCAATTTTTTGGAACGTAACTACCGTGTTATATGGGGGTTACCTGTATTATTAAAATCTGAATTAAATATTTTAAAATAAATATAGTAGTTGAGTAATTAAAAAAAAATGAATCTGACCTTTAATGAATATTTATATTCATAGTTGCCACATCATTAGTACAAGCACATTCAACATTTAAATTAAATATATGTGGACCACCACTTGTGCTGGGATCTACATAAATGTTGACTAAACTTTTTCAGAAGTTAATAGAGGTGGGCTAGTACTTTGCCCATATTAACCTTAAAACATCAAAGAAATAGAACAAAGTCTAACTTTAATTTTCACTAGGAAGAATGAAGTGAGATGGTCTCAATATCTTCAAAATTCAAAATGTTTCAATATCTTTGAAATTCACTTAGTAAATTTTAATATTTTGCATGAAATAATTTCTTTTTTTAAATTTAATAATTTTATTCATTATTGCTAATATACATATATAAAAGTATATTAAGTATAACACATTTGTACTTTTCAGGTTTACAAACTTGCTGTTTTATATATATATATAATAGTGTAAATTTCTCTCTACAAATGAATCTATACAAATAATTCTTGTTTTTAACAATATTATAAGGAATGTATAAAATTCTAATTTTAAATTTCTGACGGATTAAATATTTAAGGCACTTGATATTTAACAATACTTTTATAAAGCACTGCAGGTAGTTCATAAATTATCACAATCAGTGAGGGCTAATTAACAATTTATGTATTTGGACAGAAATGGTAAATATTCTCAATGTTGATCCTGGCTGAAATGGGGGTGCAAATGATCAATATTTGCATATTTACCAGGTTGAAAATGCAATATATGCATATGTATTAAACTTATTTAAATGAGACTAGAGTACAATTTACAAGCTACAATTTTGAATGGAATTTCTTCAATAACTTATGTACAGAATATCAACTTCTCGTCAAAAAAATGCCAAGATTATCGTCTCAGAACTCCGTATCATCTTTACATTCAAATGCAATAAGTTGTGTTCTTAGAAACTAGACACATAAATGCTTTATATGAGGTTCGTTCCTAACAAAAATTAAAATGAACAAATGATGAAATGTCATAATCAATATTCGATTGATTCCCCCATTTTCAAAATATGAAAAAAAAAAAATGCATATATATATTACATATTCTTTTATGAGTGAGAATGTCCTGATATTGATAATGCATCTGATCTGCATAATTGGTTTGCACCAATTGATCTCATCTTCTTTGCAAAAATAAATAATAAATGGCACTTTTACACTTCAGTGGAAGACTTTGGTTTAGTTCTGGCACGGCGGCGCGCAAGCTCAGAAGCTCCAACTGGTTCTAGATTTGGTGGCTTAGGAAAATTATTGATAGCACGGAATGTTGCTGCCATTGCACCCTAGATAATTCAAAGTTTATGATATAATTTCAAAAAAATTTTATAAATGTAGAAGTATCTTGTAGCCTTATTTTAAAACTTGCCTTGACTATATGAAGATCCTGATGAAACAGATTGTTAGAGGGAAGCATGTTTCGATTAGTTATCCATGAATGATTAAGAATATCTGTGATTTTGTATCGTTTCTTAGGATCAATATGTAGCATCATTTGTACTAAATGCTGAATAAAACATAATATAACTCTATGTTAATACCTTAATAAAAAAATATTTAATATAAATATAATAAACTTACTTTAGCACTAGCAGAAATAGTTATCCAGTTTGATGAAAATGTATCAAACCTCCCTTGTTCAATTCGAGCTAAAATATCACTTGGTGTATCATTTGGACCATTTGCAAATGGTGTATGTCTAAAAAAATTTAATTTTAAATTTATTATAATTATAAAAATGATAAAACTATTAAAGAAAAAGAGAACTATCATAAAAAAATCTCAAAACTATTTTTTATTAAATGTGTTCGAAAATTAAATCTTTGAAAAATAATTCTTGAAATATGACATAATCATAACATAATCTTTCTGAACTTCTAAGTTAAAGAAAGAGCATTTGTCAAAAACAGATGTCTACAATTAACAAGTGTAAATAAAGTTATTTTTAATAGTTAAAACATATCTAAAACTCAGATTAATATTTTGCTTAATTCTAGCCCAAGAATAATTCAGTTTTTAGACATGTTTGGTTATTAAAAAATCAGGTTATGGTCTATGTTTATAATATTATTTTTACACATTACAGTACAACTATAAAAACTACTTTATTATTAAATTTTTTTTAACATGATATTTTTGATCATTTATATTTTAATAATAATATAATTTGGAAACTTAAAAATTCTAAATTTAAATTATTCTTTAATTACAGAATTAATTTTTAGCCAGTATTAATGGTGAAGTTGGTAAAAACTTCTCTTCAATACTTGAGTGTAAGAAATATAATCAAATCAAAAAAGAAATTATTAAATGTTAAATTGTTTCCAATATTTTTTTTTTCAGAATCTACCAAGCTATAAATGAGGAATTTGAATGATATAAATTTGATGAGAAAAAATTCTAAATTACCCAGCAAGCATTGTATACAAAAGCACACCCATACTCCATATATCACAAGCTTCATCATAACCCTGTTGTTTCAGCACTTCTGGTGCTACAAAATTTGCTGTATAGCATGGTGTCATCAGTAGTCCATTTTCTGCTCTTATCTGTTTGGCAAATCCAAAATCACATATAATTAAAGAAGAAGGATTGTCAGTTTTATCAGCATACATGATGTTGGAAGGTTTTAAGTCTCTGTGCACTACCTAGTTAGAAGAAACAATTACAAATTATGATTCTTGCAAACATGCTTCCAAATTTGTTATATCAAATTTCTTACCCCATTATCATGAAGATATTTAACAGTCCTTGCAATAACTTCAAGTATAGCACTTGCTTCTTTTTCGCTGAAATATCTCTGACTAAGTATTTTGTCAAGTAGTTCGCCCCCTCTGAGTAATTCCATAATTAAGTAAATTGAATTTGCATCTTCATAAACCTACAAAGTACAACAGAAAAATAAACAATTATTTTTTCACTGTTATTAGTACAGTGGTACCTCAGGATACGAAATTAATCCGTTCCGAAACTGAGATCGTATCATGAAAATGTCGTAAGGTGGATCATCTTTTCCCACACGATTACATGTAAAACCAAATAATTCGTTCCAACGCGAAAAGCATACTCAAATTAAAGCCAAATAATACATTAAAAAAAATAACTGTAGTAAGAAAAACAAATGAAAAATGCGAACTAATGTAACGTCGTATGGTGAGTTTTTGTTCGTATCGTGGAGCAAAAATATGTTCGAATTTCATGTTGTATCCTGAAAATTTCGTATGCTGGGGCGTTCGTAACCTGAGGTACCACTGTATAAGGAAATTAAATGAACCAAACTTACATCATATAAAGTAACAATGTTTTGATGATGGCCATATCTTAGAAGAATCTCTATTTCTTCTTGACAGTCTCGTATAGATTTATCAATTATCTAAAAAATAGACAATTACATTAAACATCCAGTCACAATATTTTTATTCATTAGCTGAGTAATTATTAAAATAATTTTTATAAGACAGCTTTTTGGGAGCCTGTCTTAAATTTCAATTGAAAATTAAGCTGCATTTGGTTTATATAAATACAGTAGAATCTTGGCCAATCAAGACCAAGCTACTGCATTATTCAAGATAAAATTTTGGAAGAGTTTGTAACTAAAGAAAGTACTGGACTGAAAAAAGAGATGTTTTAAAAAGAGTTTGCTCTAGTATTTCTCTTAAAAATATAAATTTTAAAAAAGATTGAAAAGAAAATTAACTGTAATCATATATTAACATTTACTTTAATTAATGATCCTCTTGTTTGAATAATAAATAAAATCAAAAGTGTTTTATTGCAGGTCTAACCTAAACTATAGTACATTTTAGATTTTTACATTTAAACATACAATGGTTTAATAATTTATCAAACATTCAATATTATCTGAGAACCTTTGATCCACATTAGCTTGAATAATCAAGACTATATTGTTTATATATATACATGGCCATCAAGATGAAAAACTGGGAATACTATCCTGTGTCCTGAAAAAACTTAAAGGCTGTAGTGGTTCCTACCTCTATAAATTAATGCTATTTTTACAAACAAAAAACTAAAATCCTTAACACTGCCTTTTATTAATAATGAAACATTCTATCGGGTTGTTCGAAAAGTAATTTCATTTTTTTCCGTGGGAAAAAAACAATATTTTTATAATAAATAAATATCTTATTGAATTATATATTGACCATTTTGGTCAAATACCGGTTTTCATCATTTCTGGCATGATTTCACATTCATAAAAGTTTTGATCGTTGCTTACAAAAAACTGATCCAAGTGATTTTTGACATTGTCATTTCAAGTAAATGTTTTAGTTAAGAAATTTCTATAAACCAGAACAAATAATAATCTGAGTGTGCTTGATCTGGCGAATATGGTTGGTGTGATAGCACATCCCATCTAAGTTATAACAGTTTCTGACCAGTTACCAAACTTGTGAGAAATTTGACATTATCATGGTAAAACACTACACCTGTTTTGTTGATCAATTCTGGCCGCCTTTTCTGTTTGATGATATTACTCAATTTGTTTACTCAATGGCAGTACACTTTTGAATCAATTTTTAAATTGTCTGGTAAAAGCTGAAAAAAAAAAATTTTCTTAAAATCCCACCAAAGAGAGCATCTCTAAGAACACATGGAACCCATATATCGAGCTTTGAAATGAAACCAATTTATTTCAAGTAATCATAAACAGTTCAATTTGACAAATTTAATCTCTTAGTGATTTCACGTGTTGTTATTCGGCAGTTTGCTTCAATCAGTACCTTTATTTTGTTTTCGTTGGCTTCAACTGGCCATCCAGAACGTGGTGCATCTTCAATATTGAAATTGCCAGAATGAAATTTTGTAAACCAGTTTTGGCACTATCTTTCTCTTAACACATCATCTCCATACATGTACCACAATTTTTTTCTTGCTTGAACAGCATTTTGATTTTTTGGTAATAAAAAAGCAAAATATGCCAAAAATGCTGCTTTTGATCTTCCATATTTGATGAGATACAAAAAATAAGCAATTGTACAAAATCAAACAAAATTTTTTACAAATAAGCCTTAAAATGCTAGCTGTCAAAATATATAATAACTAGCTGTTACCAGTGGCTTTGCCCACGCAGATTTTGCAAGCAAACCCCATTTATATTCAGTATTTCAACAACCATAGTAATTGTTATATAACACCTACCACTGAGAATGATGAGAACTGCCGAGAATCAAACGAACTATTTTCAATTTGATCAATTTTCTGGAACGTTTACAATTGTTCTATAATTGAACCAATATGCAATAACAAATTCGAATTTAAAACGGTTTGAACATTTTTAAAATCGAAATAGATAAAAATATTTATAACAATGTCTGAAATGTTATTAATTTAATACACCTAAGTACTCGATGAAGACTAAATCCTCTCCCTCTCCTGCCCGTGGGGGAATTTCGAAAAATCTCTTCTTAGTGTGCATTCTCATGGCACACCCTACTAAAAAGCAGATAAAAACAAAAACTCGCATTTAAAATAGTACAGTAGTACAGTTGTTCCGGTTAAGCCTTAATCCCCCGCAGGGAAATTTTGAAAAATCCCTTCTTATTGTGCATTGCCACGGCATACCCTACTAAAACATAGATAAAAACAAAAAAATCGCATCTAAAATAGTACAGTAGAAGCCGATTTTCCAGTTAAGCCTTAACCCCCCCTCTCCCCCCGCAGAGGAATTTTGAAAAATCCCTTCTTAGTTTGCTTTTCCATGATGTATCCTAACTGTCTACCAAATTTCACCTCTTTAGGTTAAGTGGTTTGCTCTGGGCGATGATGAATCAGTGAGTGAATGAGTGAGTCAGTCAGGACAAGCAATTTTATATATTTAGATAATACAGTTTAGAATGAAAATGGCGGGAAAAGTATGACTAATCTGTCTAGTGGTAAAAAAAAAAAAACGAAATTACTTTCCAAACAACCCAATAAAAAAGAAAAAACTAAAAATAACAAATAAATAATTAAATAATCTAAAATAAGTGTAAAAATTTAAGTTCTGTTGTAAACATTTGTTTTAGTAATAAATTGTTACTTTCATGCTGGATTAATGATTATTTATTAATGAAGTTTTTTGTGTTCATTTAATGCACATTATTGATGCTGCAGGTTATACTTTGGCAAAATTAAATTATTTATTAATTATGTATAAGATACAATTAATGAATAATTGAGAGGAATCTTTAAAACAAATAAGATCAAATTTTTGGATTGTTTAGTTACATTATTGTGAAAAAATTAAAATACTTTTAAATAAACAGAAAAAAATGCTTTTTATGAATCATAAAAAAACAAAATTAATTCTTAATGTTCTAGTATTTTCAAACATAAACTTTTTATCATCAGGAATATAGTTTTGTTATTGTATGAAATGTACGTGTAGTAATAATCTTGGTATTGCAATAATGGTGAGAAAACCACATATATTATGCAAACGGTACTTTACCCAGGTTAAAAAGATGCCATTTTATTCCACTTAGTACAGACCCAACCTCCTGGCATTGTGAAATAAATTATGCATATAGCCAAATGATAATACTAGCAGGTTATATATTTATATTCTGCTTGGTACAAGTGATATTTACTAGAAATATTCCAATTGGTTATTTTTAGACAGATTGTTTTAAAATATAAGAATGACATATATGAGTTACTATTGTAAACTATTGTATCTGTTTTTAAATTTCAGTTCTTCTATTACAGCATTTAATATACATATGTTATTCATTTAAAATTAAATATTTTATGAATATTTGCAAATTATGAAAGTAAAGTTTTTAAATATTATTGTAATTTAATAGTGAAAAAATGAAATCTAATTCCATTTTTCTTTATTCGTATGGAGGTAATATACAATTCAACTGCTTTTCTCGTGGTGCAAGGTAAAGACATTAACACGAAATTTCATTTTATGTCCATGTATTCATTATAATGTTAGTTATGTGTCTTAATTTTTTTGTTTTCACAGATTATGTAGTACAAGGATGTTCTGTTTTATTCATGATCATTCTAAGTGTGGCAGGCAATTAATTAATTAATCTCTTTACCAGCATGAACAAGAATTCTTGTGCTTGCTATTTTTGGCAATATTGGTTCTTACAAGAATTTTTTTGTACTTGATAACTTTGGTTAAGCCTCGTAGTGTGATTAGCCTGCCTCTAGACTTTGCCAAGCAAGAACCAAATCTACTGGTAAAAGAGTTAATAGTAATATAATGTCTTTTTTCTTTTTTATTTTATTAGTAGATTTTTGATAACTATAATCTGAAAATAATCAATTTTCAAAAAGAGTGCCTTTTAACTAATGTTTTCTGTCTTATTTATTAGGCTATCTGTAAATTACAATTCTACATTAGATGATTGTTTAAAAATGGAACAAAGTTAAAAAAATTTCAGGTTTAAATAACATTCTATGCACAGCATGCCAGAGGAAGGAACAAATTCAAACATAAATTGTAATGAAAAACTTACAGTTCAAATTATTTTTAAATAATGTTCCATTTAAGTAGCATGTCAATGATGTCAAAATGTTAGATTTTTAAAAAGTTTTCATTTTAAGAAAAGTTTCTTAAAAGTATGTTAGGGAAAAAATATTTTGCAGAAATTTTCTTCAAATGAATGTTGCTAAGTTTTATTTATCATATGTACTGCAACATTTTCTAATAACAAAATGAAAAATTGAGTACTTAATTTTTGATTCATTGAATTATGTGAGATAAACAAAATGTTACATGAGTATTTGGGCACATGACTTTCAATTGTAATCTGCTAAAGTTTGGCTTTCAGTTGATGATGCCCTAGCTGAGAGATAGTCTTAATGATAATTGAAGCATTATAATAATAAAAATTGCATCTATAGTCTCTCTTGATCATAAATCATGTTTTCACAAATAAGATCAATTTTCAGATTTCATAAATGAATTATGTGAATTACATATGTAATCCAAGCACTTGCTTGAAGATTACTGTATTTTTATGCATATAACCTGCAATGGTATATACCTTGCAGAAAATTGCTAGAACACAAAATAACTTGCACCCTTTGCCTATGGGAGCAGCTGTTGCTCCATAAATGTGAATT